AAAAATTTGCTCTCATTTAAAATAATAAATAAATTCTGAAATATTTAAGAATATAAAAACAGCGAATGGCAGTTTGGAGTTGCATTGCTACTAAAATTTTGAGAAATTAATAATACAGCATACTATTTTCAAGACAATCTTTGTTAGAATTATTTGTTAATTATTCAATTTTAGTTCATTAATTTAAGATTTAGAGTGTAACTACAGTGTGACCTCCATTAAAGACCACCTCTAGTTATGACCATAGGCATTAGGCACGGAATTTTTTTCTATATGCTTTGTGTTGAAGGTAACTTTCTAGAGAGACCATTATAACCTCTCCCAGCTGCCGAGAAAATTTCTGCACCAAATACAGAAAAGGTCATTTAAGGAAACATGAGAAATTATCAAAAAATATTCGCAAAACAAATAAGTAGATTAAAATGCATTCAAAATATTTGTGTGAGGCTCTTATTTAGAGAGTTCTTTAGGTAAATACAACCTCATGTTGCAGTCAGAGTGTACTAAAAACGATGATTTCAATGATATCAATGATTTACTTTTAGAGTTGAAAGTTAAATTAGAAAAAAAAGTTACTTTAGAAAAAGCAAGTATCTTAAACAAACAAATCTCTTCCCATATTTTAAAGCCAACTAATTTTTATGATATAAAAGTAAATGAAAACTTAGGAAGCATAATTGTTTATTTATTTAAAATAGCTTTATCATTCATAATTGGCGAATTTGTTTTTACACATTATTATATCAGTTAGGATCATTTTCACAGACGCTAAATTTCATTCATCAATACGTCTTTTCATGACGTCAAAAGAAGTGACATTTCCGCTCCAAGAAAATGATACTGACTAAAATTAGAATGGTTTGCGAAAAATTGTGTACCTTCTATAACAATTTTGATGTCAATGGAGGTAACCTCTAAGAACGATCAACCTCCATCAACTACTATTTTACTGTGGAACGGAGAGAGGTCGTTCCTGAGAGGTTTCACTATACAAAACTTTTTTGATTGAAAATATATTTTAGCACAAAACAATAAATGGCGCCACAAAAAAATTATTACCAAACACAAACACGATGTGTACAACACCTCCTAGAAAGAACAGGCATCAGCACGGGTTACCATAAATATCCCTTAGTAGTCCAAACGTAATGACATATTTTGTATTTTGAACCACAGCGCAGCTTAGTACCCCTAACGTAGTGACATCTTTCTTATTTTTCGTCTACTGTGCAGTTAACTTCGTCACATCGGACTACTAAATTGATCCGTGCTGAGGCCTTTCTACTTCTAGGAGGTGTTGATTAGTATCGCCAACTAACGAATTTTCGAATAAATTTAGATTCATTACATTTTAATTTAAAATCATTACATTAGCATTATTAATATTTTGTGCTTGGTTAGTAATGAGGAAAGAATAAATATAAAAATAATATTTTTAGATAAAAAATATAACAGGCTTTTTACAAGGCATAAGGAAATTAACATATAAATCATTAGTAGCAAAATTTTTTTTTAACATTTTGCAAGCATTTTTTGAAGTTTGAATCATTTATCTACTTTTTGTTCCCCTGATGCCCCCTGACGAGGGCGGGACAGGGTTAAGCTTTGATTATCCACTTTTTGCATTATTGTCTTGAATCTCAGTTTCTGCTATTCTGTAGCAATTTTAGGAATTGAAAGCATGCATCGAAATAAATATTTCCGTGAACACGTACAATATACTACGATATACAATTAATACACACGGAATTTTTTATTGCCGTTCATGTTATTGCTAGCAAATAAATAAAAAAAAAAAACAGTACCAAAGTCAATTAGGCCATGATTGGAAAAGCAATTTTTTTGTAGTTAACTGCAAATACTTTATGACTAATAAGTTAATCACAATAATTTTTGCTTTTGAATGTAGAAATTACAAATTTTCATTAAAATAAGTTTAAGCTTGTAGTTTAAATTCGTAAAAAAAAAAAAATGTTTCGAGTCATTAATTGGCTAATTTCAACATAGCAAATTATTAGAATTCATGTTGATCAAAATGTCAATTATGACAAACATCAAAAAGTGAAGAACAAATAACAACAAGTTATTTAATAATTAACATTAGCGAAATAAGTAATATCCCGAGTGGATATATCAGCAATTACGTTAAGCATGTACCTGAAAACTTCCCCATAGAAGTAGGTATATTATTAAAACGAAATTAATGACACATTCATAGGATTGTGTCATTAATTTCGTTTACATATTCATAGGATTGACCATAGATTCAATCCGAGAATGAACAACGAACTTTTATAACTAGGTGAAAAGGTTGACGTAAATGGCGTTACCGAAATTCGTCAAGGCGCCAAAAGATGTCTACAATGTCTGTATGAGTAATTTAGTCACATAACACATCTAAAATAAANAAAAAAAAAAAAAAAAAAAAAAAAATGTTTCGAGTAATTAATTGGCTAATTTCAACATAGCAAATTATTAGAATTCATGTTGATCAAAATGCCAATTATGACAAACATCAAAAAGTGAAGAACAAATAACAACAATTTATTTAATAATTAACATTAACGAAATAAGTAATATCCCGAGTGGATATATCAGCAATTACGTTAAGCATGTACCTGAAAACTTCCCCATAGAAGTAGGTATATTATTAAAACGAAATTAATGACACATTCATAGGATTGTGTCATTAATTTCGTTTACATATTCATAGGATTGACCATAGATTCAATCCGAGAATGAACAACGAACTTTTATAACTAGGTGAAAAGGTTGACGTAAATGGCGTTACCGAAATTCGTCAAGGCGCCAAAAGATGTCTACAATGTCTGTATGAGTAATTTAGTCACATAACACATCTAAAATAAAAATAGTTTCTTTTAAATTTTTATAGATTTAAATGATTAAATTATAATTTGATTTATCTAAACTTGATTTAAATTATCTTCTCTTTCTTTTATAAATATTTTATAATGATGCTAACTTTCTCTGCTTTTTGGAAATACCAAATCATGGGGCAACCTTCCTTCACTTTTAGTTCTTTTCAAAACACTGATTTTTGGTGCAACCTTTAGCTGCTTTTAGGTTCCTTCAAAATACTCATTTTTGGTGCAACCTTCTCTCGTTGTTTGGAGCTAGTAAGAGCACCATTATATAGTAAAACTGAGCACCAATTCATGTAGCCAGCAAATGAATACCATGTTTGGCGCAACATAGCTTGAAATTTTTTACAGTGCTTTCAATGTTAAAAGCTTGCTCACTCAAAACATTCTGTCGAAGCAAGCCGCCTTGCGTTCCTTGTTCTCGTTCAGGCCATTGTGACACTTCCTGTTAGTTCCCATCCCTTTGCATAAGTATCATGTATAAGTCATGTTGCATATTCCAAGAGTTGTCCGAAATTGTCACAAGAGAAACAAAATACTAAGTGTCAAAATGTTGCAAAATTTTCTGTGAAGCCTGCCGAATATTCACAAACTAAAAACCGGATCGGGTACTGGGTAATGAATATTTGGCCTGGTACCGGATAATTGCCGGCTAACATCTTTAGTATTCTTACCTGAAATTATGGAGCACTTCAGTTTTTGAAATTTTTTCAAGAAATCTTTAGAGAATTATTTTATAACTTTAGAGGTGATTCTTATCAGTAAAGTTCAAAGGTTTGAGGGATCAGCAATAAACTACAACAGAGAGAGATTTCTTTTCCTTCTAATTTTCTGTCAAGGGGATCATAGAGGTTAAGACAGTTTGACTGCACACAATCTGGTACTCATTAATTTGATGCTGGTTAGGGTAAAAGTTGCCACAGAAGACAGATTTTTTAACCACTGTGGCATAGTATCACTTGCCTGCAAATGAAGATTACTTGCAATCTTTAGATTAAAAACATTCCATTTCGCTCTTTACATTTGGAATCTCGCTATAAGAAAGGTTTTACTGTTTTTGAATAAAACATGTGTTTACTTTTTTTAATGGTAAAAGAGGGGTAAAATCAGAGCTCGAAAAACATCCCGTCCGCCCGTCCTCTGCCATCCCCGCGGACAACGAATTTTTTAAATCCGACGTTCGCGCGAACTGTCATTTTCCAGTTAATGTTCCTGATGCATTTTCAATTTTTGTTATCTTACAAGAGTCTAGCGCCTCACTTCTAAAATGACCCTCTAATCTAGAAATATAGCAACATATTGCGTGTGATGGAATTGATGTTTTCTCTGTCTGGGAGTACTGCAGCGGTTGAAAGGGGCTTTTCANTACAAGAGTCTAGCGCCTCACTTCTAAAATGACCCTCTAATCTAGAAATATAGCAACATATTGCGTGTGGTGGAATTGATGTTTTCTCTGTCTGGGAGTACTGCAGCTGTTGAAAGGGGCTTTTCAGCAATGAACTTACAAAATAACACATTACGTACTGGTCTTAAACAAGAAGCGTTAAGCGCAATTATGAACATCTACCTTAATGGAAAATCCATTTCAGATTTTTGTGTAAATCACCACCTCTGTAAATCATTGACTTGATTGTGGAACTTGCAAACGTCATATTCGATTCATTTAAAAAACGCAACACTCTCGGATAAATTGACACTCCATATAATTTGACCTTTGTCAATTAAATTATTTCATAAAATAAATACTACGCTACTATTAGTAACCTAGTATTTCGTTTATTACTGTATAATGTAATCCTAGTAACTACTAATTTATTGTGCAGTTTATAAAAATGTTTGTATTAAATAAGAGAAAATTATGTTTTTATTTATTTGGAAGCTACGGGTTAGTTTCAAAGGAAGACGGGTACATTGTTGGACAGGCCGTCCTCAGGGAACGGGAAAAATTTCTGAGTTTTTTCACACCCTGGGTAAAATCTATTTCAAAAAAGTTTATAAATAAATCGAAAAACAATTTATGATATAACACACATTTAAATCATTTCTAAATTATATGACCATTTTCTAAAAAGTTGTAAATAAAATTTGACAATGTATAGAAAGTATAGACAATGTATAGACAGTATATAGAAAGTTTATTTTCAATTTTCACAATTTTTGAGCATTTGAAATTACATTAAAAGTAACTAACGGTAGTACTATAATAGAACACAATATATTTACAAAAATAGATTAAATGTAATACCCTGTAAATAAAATCTGAATGAAAAATGAGGTATAACTTAGAGATTTATAATGCAAGAAGATGTTCCTATTTTTGATGAAGAATCATGAATATACATGTTTGTTGTGTTATTATCAACACCTGCACACTAATTTACATTTAAGTTGTAGGAAGAATAGTGTTAACAAAGAAAGAATTAATGAACATTCTGATGATTTTGATGAACTTGGTGTAGATTCTTGAAATAGATTAACGTGATAATCTCTCCAGTGCTCCTGTGTAGAAGAAGAAAATGTACATCTTGATGGTTCATTGTATGGTCGAATATTTCTTGGATAAGTAACAAATCCAGGCATCTATGAAATAATATCAAAGAATAAAATTTTTTTTTACTCCACACAAATTAGATAAAATAATTTTTTTGTGAGTTTCACAATGAAATTGTAGTTAGTTTTAAAAATTTATATTTAATTATAAAAATGCAAGATGTTTCTAAATGTCCTCCTTTTATTTTATATTCTTAGAATTTTGTCAAAAGTGATTAAAAATTTGTAAGGAGTCGCTAATTAATAGTCACGTAAAGAAACAAAATGCGCTACCAAAATCTATTTGATTGGAAGAGATAATAGAGAATCGAAAGACAAGTTTTAGACAAGACAAATCATCAAACAGGTCAATCAAAGACAAATCAGACAATCAAATAGGTATTGATGTTCCCCCCCCCGCCTTTCTCAGTAAAGTAAAGCATTCCCACATTAGCCTACTCAGAGCCAGGCAGGATAATGGAGTTGAAGGAGCTTCACAAGTTCATGATCAACGACATAGTTAATGCAATTTTATCAGCATTGCACAATGCAGTCTTTACTTCTCAGACAAGCTAACCCATCGACGTGAAACTAGGTGGGATTCTGAGGATTGAACCCCAGTCTTATACAATGGCAGCTCAGTGCCTTCAACCACTCAGCAATCTAGGCTCCTTCCTCAGTAATGATTTGTAAGATTTCAATACCATTTTTGTTTTTTCTTCACTGAAATCTGGAATTGCTAATGTGCTTGCCTTTTTTTTTTCTCACGGATTCTAAATTATACATACAAGCTGTTTTGTAACGACCACCCTTAATCAATATTTTTATAATCCTTGTCAAAAATGAAGACGAGAAATTAGTACAAAAGGGTCCACAAATTATTATTTGATCCAGGATCAAAACGAAAACTAATTTAAGGAATACTGGAATGCTGGAAGAAACAATTGACAGGTTATTAAAAGAGACAACTTCAAATTTCAACAAACAATCAAAATGGTTTTGATGTTTTTCATCCCACCTACCTCTCTACTGATTCCACCGATTGTGATAGCGTTTTTTATGCTAGAGTGGTGATAGAAGGGAGAGTTCTAAATAAGAATATCTTTGAGTTTTTAAGAATAAAATATCTTTGTTTTTGTGCAATTTACGCTAAAACAATTTTTCCGCATCATCGAAATTAGTTTTCATCAATTTATATTTTCGTAAGAAGTCGGATCTAGAATGAAACGAAATTTTAGCATTTGGTTAAATTATGCAAGGTAATTCAGTACAACGGTTACAAAACTGGAAGTTGGACTTATAAGGATTAAGAATTGTAGCACGGCATTAATGTGTAACATTCCGTCGATCAGCGAAATCCAAAAGTAAGGATCGAGTGACGTTGCTCATTAAATTCTTAGTAGGGCCTTGTTTATTTAGAGATGTAATTTAAACCTTTAACGGTAGTTGCGCAATGGCTCGTCAGGGGCAGATTGATCGCAATGTGCGTCATTAGCGAGGAATTAGCATATATTTTTATGCAATATTGGTGCGATTCAGTAATTTGCATACATTAATAATTTTTAGTAATTTTGATTTACAATTTTTAGTAATTTTGATTAACAATTTTTAGTGATATAAATTACGATAAAAAGCCTCTTCCGAGCCTTCTTCTTAGAATGCAATTAGTGAAAATAATTATTAAAAAAGTATAAAATTAAGATAATTTATTCAAATGAAAATGGCAGTTCAAAAGTGCACGAATAGGAAATTCATAATAGGGAAGCGTCCCTAGCGGCTTACGTTGACATTTTCTGCCATAGATTGCTATAGAATTCTTAATTCCCTTGATGGAAGTATCATCGTCCTTTATCTACTCCATGATTGTAACCACTGTATTGAATCACCATATATAATATAATAGTGAATTTTGAAGTATTTTGCAATCATTACCGGTATTCTTCTTCCATCACCTAGGAAACAGTGACTTGAATGATAACCATATCTCATTGCAGCTTCAGCTATACCTGCATATTGAGTATCCCAAGGATTATTAGTGTGGAAGTGCTGATAGAAGGTGAAATTTGAATTTTCGTCATCAGCTTGGGCACTTCTGAAAAAAGTAAATATGAATTTCTAAACTTTAAAAGGTAGATAACTGTAAATATATTAAGGAAATTAATACCGTGACAAAATAAAGTATAAAATTTGTTATGTTTCAAGTGCTATCATCAACTTTTTATATTTTCAGCTAAAGTAAAATGTATTTGTAAATTGAATGGCACAGTCGCATTGAAAACAATCATGTACAATAACAGTATAGGATGGTGTCTTTTATATACTTAGACATAAAAATAAACCAGAAGTGTAACATGGAAGTCTTATTACGAATTTTAAATACTAGTGACATTTGTGCTTAGCTTAACACAATTAACCATCTATATATAATTGTTTCCCTATCAATCAAAGAGAACTGGTTCTGTTATGCGGAGAAGAGAGCAGTTTAAAATGAAATTTCTTATGCGCGTGACAGCTAAAGGATTAAAATGTACATCCTCTAATGCGCACTCTGTTTAGTTTAGTTACGAGATATTATTTTATACTTTATATTTTAAAACCGTCATTGAATAGCCCTCCCAATTTTTCAGGTTACGACTATTAAGGTTAAACTGCGTAGCCTTGTAAATTTGATCCCAAACCAGAAGACAAGGGAACTCCTGGGTCAAGTATTGGGAGAAATTTTGCCTTCGTGGAGGACTTTTTAATGGAGCTGACCCGCATTTGATAACAAGAGAGCGGAAAACCACGAAAACTTCCCATAGTTAGCGTGACGGCAAAGGGACTCTAACCCCTGATCCACTGAGGATATTTTACGTCAGAACTGAGGTCGGTGCGAGCCGGGAGCGGAATTAGAATCAACTGGCCATCGCTGGGATTCGAACCCGGTTCACCTCATTGGAAGGAAAGCGTTCTATCCACTGAGCCACCATGGCTCAGTTACGAGATATTAGAGAAGTCTAGAACTTTCATGAACGCAATGACATACGCGTTTTAAAATACCCGTATGACGGCATCATATATTCCTCACACTACGCCAGCTCAGTTACTATACAGCATGGAACATTCTCACTGCATCCGCTTCGCGTGTAAAACTGCATAGGAGCTATTAACACTGCATCAGATTTCCCTAGACCAGCTGTTCTCAAAAGGTGTTTCGCAAAATCCTAGGATTCTGTGAAATGATGACATGGGATCCAAGAAATAGGATATTTTTTTAACTAATTATAATAATATTTATATCCAATTAATAATTCATAATTTATCTAATGTTTCACTTGTTTATATATACTTACGTAAGATGCGAAGGAAAGAAGTAGCTGTATATATGTGTGTATATTCTTGATGTTTTCCAAATTTCTATCTGAATCTGTTTTTAATCATTTAATAGTCTATTTTCATTTATTGTTGTGCTTGATTTGAGTAACTTTAAACTTATTTAAAAGATGTGATTATAATAAATGAAAGAATAGGTTTCATATTAATTTATCTTAATCGTTGGAGAAGATGAACACTGAACTGCAATTATTACCTGCTTATTTCCATTCCGGCTAAACTTTTTACCAAGTCACATGTTGCACTACTCAAGGCTCTTGCTCTTGCAATTCTTGGATAGTATAATACAAATGCTAAACACATTTCTTGACCAGTACCAAGTCCACCCTATAAATCGAAATACACACTTTATGAAAGAAATGATGAATTTTATTTTACTCAATATGCTGGGTGTTTCTTAGTGATCACCCTAAGTAATTAATTTTCAGAAATCTAAAAAATGAAAAAAAAAATTGAGTAAGCGTAGTAAATTAATACTGAGGTTAGTTTCACAAAGACTGCTTTTAATATGTAACTATTAGAATCTTAATCGAAAAAGTAGACAAAAAATATACACACTGCAGATTGTAAAATTAGTCTGGACACAAATAACAATAGAGTAAGGCGGGTGTATATACTATCAAATTAGATATGATTGCCAGTTAAAACTTGAAAATGTTTATAATAGTAGTCTTTCAAATAATCGTCTTTTAACTTCTCTCTGTTTACTTCTTCTACAAAACAAGTTTTGGCGCTTTGTACACTCATCTTCCAGCACAAATTTGTAGCCCATAATATATATACTTTGTCTTTACTTTATAATAAGGATTCTTAAAATATAAATGGTATTTTCTAATGGACTCTGTATCAGCACAAATAAATGAATAATAAATGAATAAATAAATAATAAATAAGTAAATGATGAATAAATAAATAACAAATAAATACATAATAAATATATAAATAAATAAATAAACAAATAATAAATATATAAATAAATAAATAAATAAATAATAAATGAATAAATAATAAATAAATAAATAAATAATTCCAAATTTGTATAGATATACATATACATACGCTCATTGCCATTAAAATTAAAGCATCTAGAAAGACTTGTCAATATGAAACGAAATTTTACATGCGCAAGTATAACGTTGAAGTAAGTAAATGATTAAAAATCAAAGCAAAATTATCATTTAAGGCTGGAAAAAACGCAATTGACCCCACCAATCGTTGCCGCTCAAGACAGGATTGGATTGCTACAATATAGAACCAGATCTTCTTCAGTGCTGAATCTAGATTTAATATGGGCAGTGATAACCATCGTGCACGAGTGTGGAGGTTCTATGGTGAACGCTTCAATCCTACCTACGCTGAGCGTGATGGTAAAGCGTGCTATCGTATACGACACTAATATTGAGCCATTGCACCATACATGCCCAGCGGAATGCTCGTGGCATCCTTTAGCTTCAAGTGTTGCCACTCGTAGCAGGGCTCCTCAGAGCAATTTTCCAACAAGGCAGTGCTCGACCACACACAGCAAGGGTGTCACAGGAAAATCTCTGTCACATTACCACTTTTCCCTTGCTTGTTTCATCCCCATATTTGTCACAGAATAGACTTATTTTGGACCATTTGGTATGGCAAGTTGAACAGCCTCCAAGATCAGTCAATTTACGTTATTCCTACATCAATTGTGAAATGATATGCTGAAGGACATCATAAGGGATTTTAATGCCTCAATGCACAACCTCATTGAATCCTGCAATTGTGCTAGAGTAGGTCCAAGAGGGTGCTAAAATCTTCACTCATTGGTATTTTCTCCTGCAATAAATGATTATTTTGCTTTGATTTTTTAATCACTTACTGATACGAACGTTGTACTTACATATGCAAAATTTCGTTTCATTCTATAACATATACTTACAAAAGTAGTCATATTTCTTCCTGTGGAGTCATAAGTACATTCGACAGTAAGGTGATCACCCTAGAATTAATTTTTCTTTCAATTAATAGGTATCAAACTGATGTATCAATTTAGCAGTTTTATGTCAAATAAAAATACTATTTGTATCTAGCTAGATTATGTTTCATGAAGAAAATGTGAAGGAACACAATAAGAATGACCCACAATATGTGAAAAACTTTAAAATTTCTGGTTAGTTTTTTGAAATAATTAAAAATCATTCAAAAATAAGTTCTATTATTTGAAATTTAAAAAAAATTATCTTAATGATTAGTTTACTTTCTCCTAAACTGCAAATATTTCTAAATAAAATTCGCATTTTTTGTCATTATTTAAGGATCGGGTCTCAGGAGGTTAAAGGAAACGAAAAGAGATAGAAATGTTTACAAGCTGAGTTCTGTTAAATTAAGCAAAATTTTTTCTTACCAAGTTTCGAAAGTAGTTATACAGTTCATATACTAGCGCTTTTAAAATAAAACAAAACAATGCTTTCTGTTGCATACCAGACTATTCTCACTTAAAATATTTCGACGGTGTGCTGTTAATTCTGTCTTCAGACTGGGCCATGTTTTGTTTATTTATTTAGACACTTAAATAAATTGGCTTTTCAAGTCTTTAACTCTAATCCCAGTCAAGTAAAGGGAAAGGTAGCTCAAATAAAAGAAGGACAGCACAAAGGTATATGTGAGAGTGTGAAATTCAAACTCGCTTCCTCAATCAGTCGAATTTTGGCTCTGCAAATGGTGGTAAATTTGAAAAAAAAATTGTTTTACAGATTTTCTCTTTTAAAAGCACCAATTGTTATTGATAACTTAAATATAAATCTTAATATTAAACCCTGATCAGAATAAATATCTGTATTTCTAAGCTGAAAGCAGTGAATCCTTCATATTTCTATCTCCTATCGTTTTTCTTTCAAATTTGAAATCCTTTGTCATTTCTTGAAAACCCTCTACTTTAGAGTATTTTTGAATATTATTTATGAACATTGCTTGCTATAAAAGTATTTATATATAATCGTCATAATTTGTGAGTAAACTTCAAGGAATATTCTTTTTTTTGAAATTAATTATAATAAATATAAAATTGCAATTTTATCGGAAGAAATAGAGTTTACACACGAAGAATGGTTTTTAATCTCGAATATTTTTAAGTTTTAAGGTATTGGAAAGAGATGTATAAATGCAAGATTTTTAAAGCTTTAATTATTAATTTTTACTTCATAACATTTCTTAAAACAGCATTATGAATATTTTTAGTCGAACTTTGAAGTATTTCATACAGAGAAAAATGTACGAAACATTCGCAATTAAAGATATACGATGCTGTAAAGGACATAACTTGCAAATATCCATAACTTTCCAACTTTAAGGTAAAAATGTTTACTTACTGATTTAACTGTGATCTCTTCCGGTAAATAGCGATAATCCTATAAAATTAAAGCTTCAATTAATATTTTTAATTATAAAAATAATGTTTCAAACATTTTATCAAGTAAATCAGACTATTTTTGTTTTTATGGAATGGAATGGAACTGCAAACTATAAAAAAATGATTTGTACATTAAAAAATATTTCACATTTAATGAGATCTTAATCAAGATATCACCTGATAATTAAAATCATATTTTAAATCCGATGCAATGTGGGGCAATTCAACACTATTTCTAAAGTGACGAAGCTTCATTTGTCTCCCTAGAGAAAGAAAAGAAATTTCATGCAGTTATTAGTAATAACAAAACATAAGTTATATTATTAAAATGATGGATAGTAAAATTTAAGAATAAAAATTAAAATTTTTATCCAATCTGGTGTCTTAAAAATTTCCAAAGTTTTGAAAACTCTGTTTAAGAAAAACGATAGGAGATATAAATAAATTATTTTTTGCATTCTGTTTAGGGAGTGAGAATTATTCTCATCAAAATCATTATAAATTTCGTTGATAGATGGCACTGTTAGATAGGAAAGATTATGGATAGAAAATCTATGGAATGTTTTCTGCTACTTGACCATTCCACAAAGATATTTACATGGACGAGTGTAAATTTTGTATTTAGACTACGCCACGTTGTAGCATTGTTTTATAGTTTTGAGCTTATTGCACCATCTGTTGAAGAACTCTGTAACTAAGTTTTAAACTTATGAAAAAAGAAACAGAACACAGGATTCTTTTCTTTTTCTAACTCCCGAATTTATTTTTATATAGTCGATCTTTTTGGGTAACCTAATTTATATGTTGTATAATGGAGGAATATAAGAATATAAAATACATTTTGTATTCCTCTATTATAAAACTTATATACAATAATATACGATTTAAAATGTATGTATAAATGTATGTAAAATGTATGCAAATGTATGTATTTGCACTTTTGTAAAGAGCTTCGTTAGATTATGATCTTTTGAAATAATTTAATAAAAACTATGTAAGATGGAAGATATTTTATACATATTATGCACAGTGGGTAAAGCAAGCCTTCGCTTTCATGCATGCTAATGAAATCTGTAATGTAACACAGGCCTACAAATTTAAATTGTGTGAGATTTATTAAATCCTTCTTTTTACATAGAATTTTTGACTTAATTTTATAGCATTTGATAATTTAACGATATATTCTCAAATTTTAAGGTGTTCATAATTCTCTGCTTGTAATTTGGTTGAAATAAATAAATAAAAAACATACGTGAACGGAAACTTCATCAATAGTTTTCAGTGTTCAAAATAAATATAACGTGATACTTATACTGGATTTGATGTAAAGATCGAATTTTCACCTGTTAAAATGCGAACCTACGAATGCGTGCAAATCTAAGATGTTTTGCACACAATTCACGAAATTTTCTTATTCAAAGATTAATTTTGTATAATTATTTCTGACNATTAATTTTTTATAATTATTTCTGACTTAATTATTGAATTTAGAAATGATAGAAGACGTTATGAATTGTAAAGAATACAAATTTTAAAGTTTTGTACAACTTATACTATGTAATTTTAAATAATATCTTTCGTAAATTTGTTTTAAATGTATCGAAAGAAATGTTTTACCAAGTAGATGAGAATGCAGAAAAACAGCAAATACTCGAATTCCTTCAGCTGGTATTGCCTAAAACAGATGTAACACATCTCTGATGAACAAAAATTACAAGGCACTATTTACATTAATTTACAACGTGAAAATAATTTACTAAGAATTGTTAGAATATTATTTTTTTAATCTTTATCTGTATCTGTATCTGTTTAGATGGAAAAAAGGGAAGAAATCAACTGGACTGGGAGGGGGGCTATATCTCCCTTCTTTGTGCTTAGTTATTGGCCAGTTGGAGATTGCGCAGTGGTGATCTATTCAATGTTATATTTTGACATTCTTTCGATAAGGAAAATAAATAAATAAAAAAGAATACAATTAAAATACCTTAAATTCGAAGCAAATTTTTACTTTTTAACTATACAGACTATCCTGCTGGAAAGAATTATCTAGGTTTTTAAGAAATATCTTAAAAATTATCAAAATTTTTAAAAGTTGTCGATTTAAAGAGAATTTTAAACTTAACTGAAAATTATTCAGAGCCAGTTTTTCTTTCATGAGTCCGGCAGGATTGGAAACTTAATATTTTTGATTTTGTTGAAATTTTTTTAAGATATTTTCTTTATGTAAAGCTATTAGACACACGTTTAATCTTATCTTGTGAAACTTTTTTTTTCTCAGTTTTTTTTTTGGGGGGGGGGGGGNGGGGGGGGGGGGGAGCGGCTTAAATTTGAAGTTCCTCTGAAATTTTGAAAAAAAAAAATCTCTAGAGGAGAATGTGGATAGACTGGGTACCTCGATTGTGTTGAAATTAGTTCGGGTTTCTAGCGGTTAAACTCTAAAAATGAAACAAAAATTTTATTAATCGAGAAGAAGGACCATATTGACACGACGTTTGCGTAGATAAGTTTGTTTTGCTTCGTCAACTCTCCAATGCTCTTAAATTTTCAAACTAGCCTTATTTATTGGTCATTACAGTTATAAAAATTATTTTTATTCCAGCTTATTACATGTTTAATAAAAGTTCATACCTTAAAAAAACAATAAGGATTAAGTTTTTCTTATTTTGAACACATATTTTACCCCCACTGGTAATTTGACTATTTCTACAAAAAAAAAAAAAAAAAAAAAAAAAAAANTTAAAAAAAATAAATAAATAAATAAAAAAAAAAAAATTTATATGGAAAGTAGTGCACTCATGACTTTCAGGAATGATATATTGTACATAACTAAACAATGGATATCTTGATTCAATTGACAGTGAATTTGATTAAGTGAAAAAAAAAATTACACCTGAAACATATCACTTACTTAGATTGTACGGAGTATATTTTACCTTTGCCCGTCCTGTAAATTCTAGATAGTTTAAGGTAAATTTTAACGGAACTACTTAATATATATTTACAGACCTTTGTGTTTAACTAATGGCCAATCAGAATTTGACGGTCAAAATGAAAGAAAAAGATTTCTTTCATTGATGCAAAAGTGCACTGAAAGTATTTATATCTTCATAGTAAGTGTGAAAGCAGTAACAGATAAATTGATGGTGAGTACCCTAAAAAACTTATTTTACAAAAAAAGCATTACCACATGTAAATAAGTGTTTTCTCAAAATTCCAGTGAATCTTCAGTTTTGACCTATCGAAATCATGGAAAAAAATTATTTTGCAAAAAAAAATTTTTTTTAATAGCATTAAGCAAGGAACATATAGTGAAAATTTTGAAAGTGTCAAGTGTCCAACCTTGCCTGATCAGCTAGATTTTGCATAAACAACTAATTAATCTCAATTTTTGCAAAACATATTGAGCCCAAAAATACAATGGGAGAAAAAATTCGACAACGAAACGCTTTCATTTTTATAAAAAAGACATTTGGCACCATTTTCTAAATTAGCATAAGAGACTCTGGTTAAGGTGTGAGTTACGCAAAAAAGTCGTGAACATCTGTTACAAACTCACCAATAATTATAAGCTAATTTCTCAATCTCATGATGACGGAGTCTTGTAAGCAGTGGCTTAATAAGATTGCAAAATCTCCTTGAAAAAAAAAACAAGTGCTTTTCGTAATAGGCCATGAGGAAAAAACTGAAACGCTGTAACTGTTTGGGGCTCCATGTTCATCGATTATCAGAATCACAGAAAACCAGATCAAATATATTTGGAATTTTTGATTTAACATTGAAAATCTTTAATAGACGAATAAAGAATTCATATTTATCTTCTGCTTTTGCAATTGTCGATGCCATCAATCCCTTGTCATTGGAAATAATTCATGGATTTTCTATTTAAATTGTCAACTTTTGTAAAATAGTCAACCTATTTTCGGTCAAATTTTGGATCGTAGAAAACTTTACATAGATTAACATTATAAAAAAATAGAATCAATTAGGAATTGTAACGACACATTTTATCTGGTATGTTGTACTGTTAATTCAGTCACTGAAGAAGAACCCCCTCTAGCTGCATCCTTTTTCGACCCCATGTTATGCTGCGAGATGTGCTTGTAGCATTATGTTCTTTATATTTTAAGAGCTAATTGGAGGCATGATTCAACTGATATTTTAATGAATTTGAATAAATAATCTTTTAAATTATTTTGACAGTAGCAGATAAAGATTAAGCATTGCTTTCATTTCTTGCCCACAAGCTTTGAATTGGCAAAATTTACAAGTTCCTAACACTCATTTAAACTGTTTACACTCTTGACATTTTAATTAGCGGCCAAAAGAGACTAAGGTTACTTTTCGATTGCTGCAAATTGTACTTTCTCCCACTTTGATTGCACTCAAAGATTGTCACATAGTACCTTCAGTCACTTGAATTATTTAAAACATTCAGTCACTTAAGTCATTTAAACCATTCAGCCACTTAAGTCATTAGTACCTTCAGTCATTTAAAGACTCGACAAAATAAATTAATGTTGTATAGTAAAATAAGACTAAACAAAAATCAAAACTTTTTTCTACTATATTATGAAACAGAAAATTTTCTACAATGAGAGATATTTTAGATAAAATTTAGGATTATAATTAGACAATAATAAAGACAATAATGAGATAATAAAAGACAATATTAAGACAATAATAAAGACTATAATAAATTTTTTCTCCTTTGTGTCTCAGAATGCCTCAAATAATATTATAATAGTAAATAAAATATTTAATTGCTTTACCGGTCCTAGACATTGTGGATTAGCGTGTCCAGCTATGGTAAACTTCCGTCTACCAGGAGGTACAACTATGCAAGGATCCACGGAAGCACCAATCATTAAGGTCATTGCATCGTAACGTCTTAGATTAGGTGTATAATAAACTCGAAAACCAGATTCATCTACAACTCCTAAATTAGAAAAAAAATCATGGTTAAAATCCGATTTATTGTTTAAAACATTATAGAAAAATCTGTTTTTGAGTTTTGAACTTTTTCCAAATGTAATGTTTTAAACAGTAATAATAAAATACAAAGTAACAAGAAATAAATGGTAACTTTGTGTTGTGACAAGAAGTATAAGTAAGTTTTAAATAGAAAAACCAAAATAAAATTAAAAATAGTTATAATAAAATACAGATTGACGAGATATAACTTAGGAACATATAATACAGAATTTTAATGATTTTTAAATTGTTACAATCAAACTTTTAAATAAACATAAAGACATTATTACCTGTAGCATATTTATAGATTTTCAAAGTGATCAATATAGGCCTTAATGTAGAATCGTGTCATGCCATTATATGCATTACATATTTCGTAGCTTTTAAATTTATATTCATATTTCAAAAGTGTTCAAAAATTATTTCAAAATATTTATAATCATATTTAATCACAAGCACTTTTTAATGAAATAGATCACTTAATTTTAATTCAATTTTATAAAGAACGAATGCAAATTTTTCTCTCAATAAATGTAACTTTTTTATTGCAAGTGTATGACGAATTATATTCAGTGTCACCGCAACTAATTTTAAGCTTTCCAGCTTTAACCATATTAATTATTAGCATTTACGTTATTTAAAATTTACTTGAATTTCTAGCGAACAATTTGGCCTTAAAACTCCAGCCAAATTATTTAATATTAACATTAGATATTGTGGGGTTGGCAGAATTGGCTTGAATTTTGGCAGTATCCATTTTCAATAACGCGCCAATAATGGATCGCTCATGTAAAACGTCGATTTAATACTTACTTTCGAATTGACTTAAGGCAGGTGGTGAGGATTATCTCATATAGCCTGTCCCTATAAATATATTCCATCTAAATTAATTCTTTTACTCAAAATGTTAGTTCAAATTACATCTCACGCCTAAAATATCACCTATTATAAAATAGAAAGCCTCCACTTGTTTTCTCAGTTATAGCTCATTAAAAAAGTGATCCAGTTTATGCACAACTCTTTCTTATAAAAGTTGCAGAAATAAATTTATTTTATTTCAATATTTAAATAATTGAGTGACAAAGAGGAGAAAAAAAATCTATCTTATTTTTTAGTTTTTAATCAGACATACAGGGTGTTCCACCCTGTAAACCACCCTTAATATGCATTTTTAAATTCTTTGTCTAAAGTGAGAACAAATAGTTAGGCATTAGGGGTCTCAAATTTACATTTAATTAGAAAAAAGCAAAAACGTTATCAATATCTGAGTTATAACAGTATAGGAATACGCTAGCGTAATAAGCAACAAGATAGGTTTGATTGCGGGAGAAAATAGAGAGGAATTGAAAGACGACAATTAAATATCAACCTCCAATACTGTTTTGAGTGATACCCTCCTGTACTGTGATTTGTCTGATTTCGATGGAGTTTTTTTTTTTTTTTTACTCTCACTCAAGAATTTGCGATCCTCAATGCGTATCTATACTTTACCATTTTTCATTTTTGGTAAGGATTCTAAAAATATTAAGAGAGATCTTTGAACACCCTGTACATTTGTTATCATCTCGTTACTCGTTTTTCTATAAAATGGGTAATGTGCTGATAAAATACTGGTAAAATAGTAAACTGATTAGTTCACTATTTTACCGGTTTCTTTGGACTACCTTTGGGTAAATGTTTTCAGTTAGAAAGCTGATCGACATGCTTCTCAAAGTTTCCGATGTTTACAAACAATACTTTAAATGAAAGATACAATGCGCAAAAAATAAATGAACGGACCACCCTAATTTTGATCTAATGATCAGATCTTCCCTTACTTTACTTTATTTGCAAAAATTGGGCACCTGAGCAGCGCAGAAGGCACATATCCCATACATCATGAAGTATTACAAAAGTTAAAATAAAATACAGTATGAGTTCAGCAGATTATGGGGTGGCTGTTACTGGATCGGATCTTCCACGTTCTAGGACTCAAACTTATTGGTTTGAGGTGGTGACCTCAAATATGCTAATTAATTAGAGCAGACGATATTTTAAGCAAGGGAATCAATTACAAAACGTACTTTCTCTGAATAAACATACCTTTTTTTTCGTCGGATTCGGATTTGAGACCCACAAAAAATAGGGGACAGCAGCAATCTGGGAAATATATTTTGGTCAGGAGAGCGGTTTAGAGTTTGGATTCTATAATGTTATTTTTGTTTTTTGTGCATTTCACCATATCTCGAGAAATTTTTGCGTGAATTGAAAATTTTTTGCACACAATTATAAAATTCGTTAAGGCAAAGATAATTCCATGCTTAAAATAACTTTTAGTATACATTTATTATTATTTATTATTTTTTTTAATAATGGTCAAAAAAGTTTGAATTTTAATATACAATTTTTTAAATCAGTTTAAAGAAAGTAATTGTACATGGAAAAATACAAATTTTGAGTGAAATCGGCCGAATAGCTCCCGAGAAATCGAATTTTAAAAATACGACTTCTTCAAAATTCAAAGTGGTTCGTTTTTCATTTTGAGCACTGTACACCTCAAGAGTAAACTTTTTCACATCTCAGAGTTTTGTTCCAATTTCATTTCAACAATTAGTTTTCAATTAATAACAGTGTTAGTTTTATAATCGAGATGTTTGAAATAATTTTTCTGTGAATTCATTATTTCTTACCTGATCGAAATTCGCTGTTGTCGTAATGAATTTCCAAAACAAAATACAAGTTGGGCTTATCCCCTAAAGGCAATCCAGCTTTTTCTGGCATCACTAAATCCTTTAAGGTAAAAATACAACTAGTTTAGTACAATATAGTAAACAAAAAGGCAACTAAGAGACAATGTTTCTGATAATATGTCTCTTATAACACTATAATTTCTATAATCTAAAAATTACCAAAGTTATGACACATAATAAAATATGAGTTGATTAAAAATATAAGATTTTTAATTGTCAAAATGCAAGACGATTAATTTGAATGACATTTGATTTTGTTTTACAGTTATCTAAATCTAAGGTAATAACTATAATAATATTTACTAATATCCAAACTTGAATCAAAACAAAAAAGTATTATTGCAATCTTTCTTGTTCTTAAATTAATAAAATTATTGAAAAATAAAGTTATGAATTACAAAAAAGAGAGCTTAAAATATTTAATGAAAACGAAGTTTTCATACAATTTACTAAAATTTTAGAAGGGATGATAAGGAAAAGAATTAATAAAATGGTCATTTGATCGTTATGGAATAAAGCTCCTTAATTGGTGATTCTTTTTTAAAGCTTTAATTCTACAATACGCTTTTCCAATTCTTTTCACAATGCGTCATAACATAAATTTTTTTTTTGCTTCTAATCTAATGCAAAGGGAAATTTAAAACTGCTGGAGCTAATACAATGTTTTAGAATATAAAATAGCTTTAATTATTCAAAACCAATTTACCTTTATGATTTACTTTTGCTTTAATTTTGTATTCTAACGTGTTTTTTGATTTTTTTTTTAATTTGAAAAAATTACTTTTATTTTCACAATTAAAGTTAGTATAACTAAGTGGCAAAAAATTAAAATGTAGGATCTCGAGACAGTTACAACTCGTTTGAAAACATTCTTTTTCGATGCCCACCTGGAGAATGACCTTTCGTTATACAGGCATCTGAAGGACAGAATTGTTGGTCACTCTTTCACAGGCACCATATTAGGTGGGCCAATATTGCCCCCACAGTAAGGGCAGATAGTACAGAGAATGAAAGAATATCCATGCCTTGCCCGGGATTCGAACCCAGAGCCTTTCTGACGCAGGGCCAGTTCCCTTGCATCTACACAGGCCGATCGGCCATTTGAAAACATTTAAGTGGAAAAAAACTATTGCACTTACTAGGCCTCCGATTCCCCATGCAGCATATATGCTTTCACATTTTGTATAAATCTGAGGAGTTTCTGGTAGATAACATGGATAACCAATGTGATGAACGTGAGGTTCAAGTTCCCTAGCTGTTGCTCCTAAACAGCGATACAGCACCATGTGATGGACATATGCAGCACTTTCTTTTGAAACTAAAGGAGCAATCTAAAAATGAATTCAGAAAAGTTTTTAATAATAACCCTTTGTGATCATATTAAATAATTAAAAACATTATTGTGATAACTATAACTGATAACCATGTATAAGTATTGACGTCGGTAAAATTTCTGTATAAGCTATTTTTCCATTTTTATTTTTAGTTTCATGGCAGAGAAGAAATGAAAGCAGGAGAGACATTTTCCTCATTCTTTAAATATAAATATAAAAGAAAGTGTTGAACAAATAGTTCTTTCTTTATTATTAAATAAAGACCTCGAGCTTTGATGTTAAAACTGGTGAGGGAAAAGTAGAAGTGTATACTAACCGATTTTAAGAGAGCTTAAACAAAAAGAAATAATAATCAATATAAAACAATAGTAAATTAAATATAATGGGTCTGAAGGTTTAAAAATGTTATATGTTAGAAGTGGTCGCTTAAATGTTGCGACAAACTTCTATGGAGGTTAAGGCATATCAGCAGGATTAAAATTGCATAGGAACCCGTTGTACGCGGCTAGGGGAGTCTAGTGGCGTATGACTTGACCTAGTGGCGTATGACGACATTTCCGAGCATGGGTTCTTAAGCGATTTTAATCCTGTTGATATGCCTTAACCTCCCTAGAAATTTGACACAACTATGCGGCCCACTATTATACATTAAGTTTTTAAACGTGTACAGTGGACAAAAAACAAAACAAAAAAAGAACAGACCACTTTAAATAGCTTTTGATCTAATGATCGTTCTAGGACTCAATCTTAATGGCTCCAGAGGTTGACTTTTGCTAATTAATAAGTTCAGACGATATTTCAAATTACGAAATCAGACATAAAAGCGTACTTTCTCCGAATAAACAAATCATTTTTTAGATGGATTCGAACTTCTGACCCTCCCAAAACATAGGGGGCTAGCTGCAATCTTTCAAATAAGATCCCAATAGTTTAATCTGGAGAGCTTTCCATAATTTAGGCTCTTTTTAATGTTAATTTTACCTTTTGTGTACTTCGCTATAACTCGAGAACTTTTTATGCGAATTGAAATTTTTTTTACTCGTAAATATAAAATTCGTTTATCCAGAGATAACTCCATACAAAAAATAACTTTTAGTAAATTTTTATTATTTTTTATTATTTTATTTAAGAATGGTGGAAAAAATTTGAATTGTTTGGTATACAACTTTTTGGATCATTTTAAGGAATTTATCTTTAAATGGCAAAATACAAAATTGGAGCGAAATCGGTCAATTAGTTCCTGAGAAATTGAATTTCAAAAAAGTGAGATTCTTAAAATTTGATTTCTCAGGAACTATTCGACAAATTTTGCTCAAACTTCGTATTTTGCCATATAAAATTATATTCTTTAAAATGATGCAAAAAATTGTATACCTCAGACATCANCAAAACATAGGGGGTTAGCTGCAATCTTTGAAATAAGATCCCAATAGTTTAATCAGGAGAGCTTTCCATAATTTAGACTCTTTAATGTTAATTTTACCTTTTGTGTATTTTGCTATAACTCGAGAACTTTTTATTCGAATTGAAAATTTTTTTACACGTAAATATAAAATTCGTTTATCCGGAGATAACTCCATACAAAAAATAACTTTTAGTAAATTTTAATTATTTTTTATTATTTTATTTAAGAATGGTCGAAAAAATTTTGATTTGTTTGGTATACAACTTTTAGGATCATTTTTAGGTGGCAAAATACATTTAAATGGCAAAATACAAAATTTGAGCAAAATCGGTCAATTAGTTCCTGAGAAATTGAATTTCAAAAAAGTGAGATTCTTAAAATTTGATTTCTCAGGAACTATTCGACAAATTTTGCTCAAACTTCGTATTTTGCCATATAAAATTATATTCTTTAAAATGATGCAAAAAATTGTATACCTCAGACATCAAATTTTTTGACCATTTTTGAATTAAATAAGAAATAATAAATATTTACTAAAAATTGTTATTTTTTGCATGGAAGTCATCTTTGGATAAACCAATTTTATAATTGTGTGTAAAAAACTTTCAATTCTCTTAAAAAGTTCTAGAGATATAGAGAAATACATAAAAAGTAGAATTAACATCTGGGGTCCAAACTTAGGAGCGCTCTCCCGACCAAACTATTGGAAAAATATTTCCTAGATTGCGACTACCCCGTAGATTTTGGAATGACAAATCTGAATCTTTCAGAAAAAAAAATGTATGTTTATTCAGAGTAAGTACGTTTTTGTGTCTGATTTCGTAACTGAAAATATCATGTGAGCTAATTAGTTAGCATAGTTGAGTTTAACCCCTCGAGTCATTAAGATTGATTCTTAGAACATGAAAATCCGATCAAAAGTTATTCATGGTTTATTTCAGCGCGTTGAAAAATTTTTGACTCGCAAAGTGGGTGGTGAGCTAAAAGAGGTGAGAAACAAATGCTCTAAATCTACAAAATTTGCAATTCTAAGTGAAATAACGTAATCAACGCTACAATCAACATTTTATATGTCAAGAAACGTATCACGTGGAAGAAATAAATCTCCAATATAATTTTTTTTCGATATTTAGTAGACGATAAATTCTCTTCATCTTCATCCATTTACATCCATGAGCATTTATAATTATTCTACTTTTTTTAAACCAAGGACCAAAAATTTCGAATAACGAAAGGAGTAATTTTGAACAAAGACAGGGACTGATAAATCACCGACAGTAAGAAAAAGCACGTATGTTTTTTGGTGCCTAAGTTTATTTTTATTTTCTCCTTCTGCTATCAAAAAAGAAATTTTGCTCTTCATCTTCTTTTTACTTATAATATAGTTTGATTTCTTTTTGTAATAATAATTTGCATAAATAAGAATTTGCTAAAATTGACGACGTAGCCTTGGATCGTCCAAGATAACTTTTCTTATGAGTCTGCGGGAATGCATAATAATTTTTCTTATGCGTCCAAGGGGATGCATCATAACTTTCATATTGCAACTTCGTGGTGAAGTTGAATTGCTGATATATAAAAAGGGTTAGAAATATTTCAAATTTTGTTTATTTTTGAATAAACACAATATTAAAAAGTCGGTTTTTGTTTAAGATATTTTTAAAGTTATATATATATTTATTATTAATTTGTAAAGTTAATACGAATTCTTTTATTATCACCTTTTTTCTGGGTAGACATTATTTCCTAAATACATAAATTTTAATAAATTTACAATAAATTTTAATTACATATTAAATACAGTTTATTCATTGAACTTTAATAATTAAAAGGTTTCATTATGAAAAATCACAAATGTTATAAAATGCATTTTAATAATCCGTCCATTTTACATGAAAAAGGATTTTGTTTGTCAGGTCTTCTGTTCGTTAATTGTGCTAATTCTGTTTGTAAAAGAGAAAATTTTATGCAGTTGGTCATTCACTATTAAATTACCTTAACTGGCAGTCATGTATAGTTATCATAAACATCAGTAAAGTTTCTGGCCAAGCTGTTTATACATTTTTATTTTTAGTTTTACCGCAGTGAAACAGTAAAAGCAGGAAAGACATTTTCTTTATTCTTTGAATATAAATATAAACGAGAAAGTTTAAACAAATAGTTTTTATTTTATTAATGAAAAAAAAAACACGAAAACTGAACATTGATATTAAAATTGATGAGGGGAAATTTAATGTTTATTCTAACCAATTTCAAGCTTAAAAAATACGAAGTAATGGACAATTTAAAACAGTAACAAGGATACTAAGTCTAAATTAAAAATAAGTATTTTACTTTAAAATTATTCCTTGTAGTAGCTATGTAACGGGATAAAGACGCTTTCACATATTTTGAGGCATTTTTTATGAAAAAAAATTATTGAAACAAAAGCAATCTGCTGATCAGAAACAATACGTTGCTGTTCTTGTGGTAGGCCAATAAGAAAAGGAGTGCGATTGTTCTTGTTTTCTAGTGGCGCCATCTATGGTCAAGAATTTTGACTTCTGCCACTCCCATACGTCACATCCGTTTATAGGGTAGACCCAATCATACATCCATTCATTCATCTACAGATCGTAATTTTGACCTCAACCAGCGAACGATCAATCTCTAATTCAGTACTCCCAGAGGTATAGCTTGTTATGAAAACATGGAGGACTTTGTGACCCGACCTATTTACTATACGGTCACCATTTATAACACGGTCACCATAATTCGATCACCATTTACTACACGGAGAGTCTTCGGTCGGCTGGATTCGAACTCACATTCTCACGAACATGAGTCCAGCACCTTGTCAACTAGGCTATCCCGGAATCACGCCATACGCTGAACAGAATAATTGATGAAGCTTTAGAATTTAAGAAACAATAATAGAAATAAAGTTCTCGAAATTTAAATGATTATATATTTAATCGTATTGACTGCTACTCACATGAAGATACACTACCTTACTTACTGAAGAGACACTTTCAATTGGCATTTTTTTAAAATTTCTCAGGAAATACTTGGATTTAACTTAAGAGGTGCTTAGCTTATGCAAATTCTTCTACTTATCAATAAAGTTTAAAGCCTTCAAATATTTGAGGAACTAGCAATAAATTACAAACGAAATAAAGTGCTTTTGAACACCTTATGTTAGAAAATAAGACAATTAACTTGCAGCTTGTATTGATTACTTTAGTTATTACATGCAGTATTTGTACAAAATTTAATAAGCCTAGCCTAAATGTTTATGGAAAGATACGATCATTTTTATAAATAATAATAATTTTGTTTTACGTTTTTCTGCCGAAACTTTAAAAATATTCAATAAAATTAAGTAAAATTTTGGGAGCAATTTTTAATTAATAGCAAAACTATTTTCAAATTTGAAAAAATTTCGTCAAAATTGCGCGAGAGTCAAAATTAGTTCTTTCCTTTTATGCACGAGCAGAAGACATAATTTTTTTTTCTCTCCACATTTAAACATTTAAAAAAAAATTGGTTAAATAAAGGTTGAAATGTAAGTTCATTGGACAGTGGAAATTTCCAATGAAATAATGATACTATT